GTGGGGGAGGGAACTGACAGGAAAACCCGTACAAGAAATGATGGACTATGTGGCAACAAAATGCAAGGAGGCCCGAGGAGAGGTTTGTTCCCAAGGGAAACAGAAATAATGGGGAAAAACAGAACGAGTCCTTGGGTTTACCCAAAGGTGTAGGGAGGCAAAAACTAGGTGTATAGGGAAAGGAAAAGGTACAGAAGACAGGGGAACCCGGAAAATAAAGAGATTAGCGAAGAGCCAGAAATGAAAATGCACAGATAAGAAGGGAGGCTCAGCGACAAAATGAAAATGACATAGCATCGAAAGTCAAGACTGACCGAAGCTGTTGTACAGCCACATCAGGAGGAAAACAACAGTCAAGGACCAGGTAATCAGACTGAGGAAGGGTGATGGGGAATTCACAAGCAACGACCGAGAGGTATGTCAGGAGCTCAACACGAGATTTAAAGAAGTATTTACAGTGGAAACCAGTAGGACTCCAGGAAATTTAGAACAGGGGGTACACCAACAAGTGCTGGATGAGGTACATATAACCAAGGAGGAAGTGAAGAAGCGCTATGCGAACTTGACCTTCAAGGCGGGTGGGGACCCGACAACATCTCTCCGTGGGTCCTTAAAGAGGGAGCAGAGATATTTTGTGTGCCATTAAAAAAGATCTTCAACACATCATTTGAAACTGGGCAACTCCCTCAGGTATGGAAGATGGCAAATTGTCCCCAATTTTTAAAAAGGGAGACAGACATGAGGGACTTAAACTAAAAGACCTGTATCACTAACGTGTATAGTATGCAAGGTCATGGAGAAGATCATCAGGAGGAGAGTGGTGGGCACCTGGAAAGAAACAAGTGTATAATTGACAACCAGCATGGTTTCAGGGGAAAGGAAAAACCTGTGTCAACAAACCTACTAGAGTTTTATGACAAGGTGACAGAAGTAAGAACAAGGAGAGAGGGGTGGTTCGACTGAATTTTTTTGGACTGCAAAAAGGCCTTCGACACAGTTCCTCACAAGAGGTTACTGAAAAAGCTAGAAGATCAGGCACATAAACAGGAAAGGGGACTGCAATGGATCAGAGAATACCTGACAGGGGAGGCAAAAAACGAGTCATGGTACGTGACGAGGTGTCAGAGTGGGCGCTTGTGAAAAGCGGGGTTCCACAGGGGGCATTCCTAGGACTGTGCTGTTCTTTGGGATATGTGAACGACATAACGGAAGGGATAGACTCAGAAGTGTCCTTGTTTGCAGATGATGTGAAGTTAATGGAGAATTTAAATCGGATGAGGATCAGGAGGACTACAAAGAGACCTGGACAGCTGCAAGCCTGGTCCAGCAACTGGCCCCTTGAGTTTTAACCTGCCAAATGCAAATCATGAAGATTGGGGAAGGCAAAGAGACCGCAGACACAAATTTGTTAGATGGCCAAAAACTGCAAACCTCACTCAAGGAAAAAGATTGGGGGCGAGTATAAACGAGATATCTCCTGGGGGCACAAAATCAGATAACTGCGCACATAAAGGCGCCCGGCAAACTACGGATAGCGTTCGAAAACTCATAAGGAGGCGTTCAAGACCCTGTATACCATTTAGATACCCAATGAGTTGCGCACCCGTTTGGAAATCCACACTAGCAAGCACGTCAGAAATTAGAGAAAGTGCAAAGGTTGCCGACTAGTCCCAGAGCTACGGGATTGTCCTACGAAGAAAGGTTGAGGAAATCGGCCTGACGTCACTGGGAGGCCAGGGGGTCAGGGAGACATATAAGACATATAAAATACTGCGCGGAAAAGACAAGGGGGCAAAGCAGGGTGTTCCAGAGATGGGGCACAGACACAAGAGGTCACATTGGAAGTTGAAATCAGATGAATCGAAGGGATGTTAGGAAGTATTTCTTCAGTCATAGAGTAGTCAAGTCGGGGAATGTCTAGAAAGGGAAGTTATGACGGGGAACCATACATAGTTTTAGGCGGGGTATGATAAAGCCATGTTGCAGGGAGAGAGAGGACCTAGTAGCAATTCAGTGAAGAGGCGGGGCCAGGAGCTATTGACTCGACCCTGCAACCCAATAGGTGAGTACAAATAGGGATCTATACACTTTTCTTGAAACTCACAAACCCCACACACACACACACACACACACACAACACACACAAATGACACACTACACACCACACACACACACACACACACACACACTACACACACACACACACACTACACACACACACACACTACACACACACACACTACACACATACACACTACACACATACACACTACACACTACACACACACACTACACACACACACACACTACACACACACACACTACCCACACTACACACACACACTACCCACAGTACACACACACACACTACACACACTACACACACTACACACACACACACTACACACACACACTACACACACACACTACACACACACACACTACACACACACACTACACGCACACTACACACACTACACACACACACTACACACACACACACTGCATACATACACTACACACACAGTGTACACATACACTGTACACACAGTGCACACATACACTGTACACACAGTGCACACATACACTGTACACACACAGTGCACACATACAATGTACATACACTGGTGGCCTGGTGGTTAACGCTCTCGCTTCACACGGTGAGGGCCTGGGTTCGATTCCCAGCCAGAGTAGAAACATTGGACGTGTTTCTTTCCACCTGTTGTCTATGTTCCCCATCAGTAAAATGGGTACCTGGGTGTTAGTCGACTGGTGTGGGTCGCATCCTGGGACACTGACCTAAGGAGGCCTGGTCACAGACCGGGCCGCGGGGGCGTTGACCCCCGGAACTCTCTCCAGATAAACTCCAGATAAACTCACCCAGAACCTTAGGTCATTCATGTTAACTTGCGGTTAGCTTGAGTCAATTTCGAAGGGATGGTGGGTACTGCGACCAGGTACTAGACGAATCTTCCTCGTTGCTTCCCTGATCATCTAGGCCGTCGGTGCCACCTGCATGCAGTCCAACTTATGCACCACAGCCTAGCTGATCAGGAACTGAATGAAGGAAACATGTTGAATAATTGACGTCCCTTTACACTTACTAAGTTCTCTCTGGGTGTACTTACCGTGTCCCTGCTTTTTATTGGAGGTATTTTGCACCCTCTTTCAAATCTGCCAAGCTTTCATATGGAGTGATTTCAGTATAAAGGCTTGGGACCAGTCCCTCCAGGATTTTCCAGGTATAAATTATGATGTACTTTTCTCGTCTATGTTCCAAGGAGTACCATTCAAGGGACTGCAAGCTTTCCCAGTAGTCCAGATGCTTGACTGAGTTTATATAGGCAGTGAAGGTTCTGTGTGTCTTCCAGCTCTACAGTTTTTCTACCTTGAAGAATACTAGTAAACACCAAATTTCCAGCCTAGGGACAACAGGTGACCTGTAGAGAACCATCATTTGCACTTGACGTCACTGGGCAAGGAGTCCATCATACTGCCTGTCATGCTTGTGCCTGTGATAGTGCGTTTATCTCTAGTGTGTCCTGACAAAAGTGGTCTTGAAAGATTCTGACGTTCCTGAGACCTTGCTCTACTATGAATTATTCAGCAGAAGGAATCAGAAGAAATGTCTTTTTATTATCATGCTTGTTTTAATAAAGATCGTTGGGTAAACTGGTTAGCTGTGATCAGTGGTCTGGCTCTGGAGGTTGATTTCCCTCCAAGGGCTCTTAATCCCTAGATTTAGAGCCACTCTTTCTTTCTTTGGGTCGAATTTGTTTGATTTCCATTCCCCAAGGCTCTGTGTTACCCCAACAGATCCAGAGATCCCTGTGAAACAAAAATTGCAAAATCCGGGAGTTGCAAGTACAGCTGGTGTGTTTTAAATGTATCCTTTCTTGTTTTCTTCTAAAACTGATGGTCCCTGATATGTTCAACCCTCCTGACTGACTACTGATTCGCTTCATTCCATGAACATGGATTTTCAGTGCAGACTTTCACAAATTTCAGTCCCACAGGAACATCAACTGTAAACAGTGGTGCCGGTACCTGAGAGTATACTTCCACAACGCCACCTATGTATGAGTGGGAACGCTACACAAATAACCAGCAAATAGGAGAAAAATTTGATGAGGACTCTTTGACTCGGCTTGGTCCATAAGTGAGTGTGTGGGTGTGTCACTCAGGTTTACAGAGTTGCTTAATTAATCTGTACAATTTATGTAAGATGATTTATATAAAATTTATAAAGTTGAATAATTTATGTTTTGTAAACCCAGCATTCACGTGTTTATATTTAAAAAAAATGTAATATTGTCAATATAGGCAAATTATTTCTTTCTTTCAAATAAATGCAAAGTCTATAAATCTTTAAATGTTAATATATTTAAAATAGCATGCATACAATAATAAATACATATATGATGGTGCCGCTTACCCTAGCAATGCTGACGTACATCATGACGACCTTTACATGGCATCGTAAACCCAGACACCTCAGAAATACTTAAAGCTCCATGCTTCTGTAGCGTTTCCACTAGGTAGACATATGTCATCAACTCTAGACTTGGAAACTTCTCTGCCATTTTCATGATGAAAATTGTGCACGGATCCACGCACCGAAGAAAAAAAAAAACTGGGAATATATCGCTAATTCTTGTTCTGTCAGATGCCTTGTGTGATTAGCGACCAACCCGCGGTTTTGTGACATGTTTGTCCAACACTTCATAGCGTCATCACACCCGATGGCTAGTGGATGAAAACGTCTTCTTCGCCCGGCAGCATGGCAGACACAGCCATATCTCTGCCATAATAGCTTAACAGATTTGATATCATGAATTTGAAGACTAAAATCCTGTTTACTAGGCAGGAGGTCTTTCCTCTCCTCTTGTGTTAAACGCTTCTCTCTAAAGCCTTTTTCCAATATTTTTTTTTACAATAACCCTTGTGATGAAAATGCATGTGTATAATAAATTATATATATATAAAAAAAAAAAACTTACTTCGTCGGGAACTTCGGTATTAGTTTTCCTCCTGAACTCTTCCTCCTCCAGTGTGTTTAGGGTTTCAAGTCCAAAATACTTCCTGGCAGTGTTGTAATCAGGGAGTCCATGATCACGAGCTCTCTGAATGTTTACAGCCATCAGGTCACGTCGGGAGAACTCAAGTGGTCCAAACACATTACCTAGGGACACCATGAAAGATTTTGATCCTCTGGATATACCGTCAGCCTCGGGTCCACTACTAGAGAAGTATGTAAGTGTATAGAACTAAAGACCCACCTCAGATATACTCCTAGATTTATCAGTGGAAAAGATCAAAGTGCTTTAGGCACAACTAAGAACCATAATGTACCTCCATAGGTACATACATCCACAGGTGCCACTAAGCACTACTACTTACATCCACAGTGCCACTAAGCACTATCGCTTACATCCACAGGTACTACTAAGCACTACCACTTACACCCACAGGTACCATTAAGCACTACCACTTACATCTACAGGTACCATTAAACACTACCACTTACATCCACAGGTACCACTGAGCACTACCTCTTACATCCACAGGTACCATTAAGCACTACCACTTACATCTACAGGTACCATTAAGCACTACAACCTACATCCACAGGTACCATTAAGCACTATCACTTACACAGGTACCACTAAGCACCACTACATAACTCCTCAGGTACCACTAAGCACCACTACATGCCACCACAGGCAACACTAAGCACCACTACATACCACCACAGGTACCCCTAAGCACTACCACTTACATCCACAGGTACCATTAAACACTACCACTTACATCCACAGGTACCATTCAGCACTACCACTTACATCCACAGGTACCACTAAGTACCTGAAATACAACTTTAGACGCCACTAAGCACCACTACATGACTTCAGGTACCACTAAGCACCACTACATACCTCCTAAGGTACTACTAAGCACCACCACAGGTTTACCTGGAGTTTACCTGGAGAGGGTTTCGGGGGTCAACGCCCCCTCGGCCCGGTCTCAGACCAGGCCACTAAACACCACATCATACCTCCACAGGTACCACTAAACACTACATCATACCTCCACAGGTACCACTAAACACCACATCATACTTCCACAAGTACTACTGAACACCACATTATACCTCCACAGATACCACTAAACACCACATCATTCCTCCACAGGCAGCACTAAACACCGCATAATACCTCCTCAGGTACCACTAAATACCACATCATACCTTCTCCGGTATACTAAACACACCTCCACAGGTACCACTAAACACCACATCATGCCTCCTCCGGTATACTAAACACACCTCCACAGGTACCACTAAACATCACTACAAACCTCGAGTATCACTAAGCACCACCCCAACATACCTCGCAAGTCATCAACGATCACGTTGTCCTCCGACTCGGTACTCTGGCTACTGAGACCCATCAGAAACCTCTCAAAGTTCTCAGGGTCACGAGTAAACAGTTCCTGTAAGAGAATACGTAAATGATAAATATCATTTAGCTTATTTTTAATTTAAGGATTCTGCAGGAGTTAGGCTTGGAATTCATAGTTATCTTACTCGCTATGATTATTATATTACTATTATATTATTAACTAAAAGTGTTAGCCCCATAGAGGTCAGTTCTTTTCATATTTTATCCCTAGCAGTATTTTTTATTATATTTAATGACATACTTCAAGGAAAATGAGTGATCTTTGAGCAAGATGTAGGCCAGAGACTCCTTCAAGGAAGGATACCTTTATGCTGCTAAATGACTTATGGACCTAAAACTACACTCCCCATCCTCAGACCAAACCTGAATGCCTCCCATTCCATAGGTGCTATATGACCCACTAAGGATTTTGTGCTTTCCCATGAAGCTGGCCAGGGGCTTTCATTTGGTCAGATGATTTGATTTATCTATTGCCCACTTGCCGAGAGAACCTCTTCCAAATGAGAGTCATTAAGGAAAAAAAACAATAAAAACGCGTGATTGCAAATATGAAAAAATACCAGAGTGAAAATAGGAAATAAAACCTATGCGCTGTCGAGTTCTTACGCATATATCTTCAGAGGAATAGGAAGAAGTGGAGAGGTCTGAGAGGTGTTGTCACTCTCAGAAAAAGCGACACCTCACAGACTTGTCCTGAGTCATTAACTGGAACTAATGATTGAGAAGGGTACATTCAAGGTGGATACTACTGTTTGTTACCCGTAGTGAAGAGTAATAACAGTCTTGCTGTTGTTAACAGAACAGAACCAGGTTGGGAACCCTTAGAACAGTTTGTCTTGTACGTAACATTAAAGTCACTGTGTTGATGAATGCTGAAATATCATGTTAATGAACAAGAGGAAAGGGAAAGGATGGGATTAGGGTCAAAACCTAACGAGAACACTCTCGGCTTATATACGCTGAGAGAAATACACATCACGATGTTCAAATTCAAATTTTTATTTTTTTGCAAGTTTACAATGTGATTGACATGTTGTAGATAGGTAGTTTACAGTGTGTAATTACAATAATGATTTGCAGTGCAAAGAGAGCCACTATCAAGCCTAGGCATTATGGTCATCCATGACGGGTCTAGTCGAGAGACGAGTTGCCTTCCACGACCTGCAGAAGCTGGAGGTACGAGGCTAGGCTATTCATGACAATGGTGGATACCCTAGGTGTTAAGTGAAATTGTGCATCGTATTAAGTATTGTAGCTCTCGCTGTCAAGTGAATACGAGATGCACAATGGCTGTTTTGTTTGCAAGAGTCTCCTCAGGATGTTCGAAATAGTTTCCATTCTTCCTTACGCCACAAATTCCTCTCATCATCCATCTCTCTTTTTCTTTTATCTCACTTACTGGGGATCTCCAAAACGAGTTGCATGTCCTGACTCCCCCTTGCGCATGGTTCTGCCCAGACACCAGAGAGAAAGGAACTGTGCGACAGCCTTCGTCCCTGCGGTCTCGCAGGTATACTCCTGAGGTCACTAACGTATGCCCGAACCTCATAGCAGCTGACTGGAAGATGTGGCTCACTTGTGGATCCGTCGTCGCCTTGTAACCTGCAAGTTTGTTCAATTCAGGCTTTTCCTCTTTAACCTATTTATTCCATAATCTTCCTCCTAATAGTTAATTTAATTATTATATTTTGTGGTTCAAATTACTATATAAATTACCAAAAATGATATACAGTAAATAATCTATAAACGAATGTAAATTCAGCTGAATAATTACCGTTGTTTATTTCTTGGCTTCCATCATTGGATTAAGCATTTCTTAACAAGGAAGTTATGTATAATCCTTATGGGTTTAGAGATCCCATGACAATAATAATTAACACAAATAATTCAGAATAATAAAAAATGAGAGTGAAAGAGATAAAATGGAATTAGGATTTCTCTATTATCTTCCATTAGTTCCCCTATTGTGAAACTGAAGCAACTTAAATCAGAAGCTGCCAAGGAGCACTAGCTATCAAGGAACACTAGCAATCAAGGAACATTATCAAGGAACAATATCAAGGAACACTAGCTATCAAGGAACACTATCAAGGTACACTAGCTATCAAGGAACACTATCAAGGTGCACTAGCTATCAAGGAACACTATCAAGGAACACTGGCTATCAAGGAACACTAGCAATCAAGAAGCACTAGCTATCAAGAAGCACTAGCTATCAAGAAGCACTAGCTATCAAGAAGCACTAGCCATCAAAGAGTACTGGCTATCAAAGAACACTAGCTATCAAGGAACACTGGCTATCAAGGAACACTGGCTATCAAGGAACACTGGCTATCAAGGAACACTGGCTATCAAAGAACACTAGCTATCAAGGAGCACTAGCTATCAAGGAACACTGGCTCTCAAGGAACACTGGCTATCAAGGAACACTGGCTATCAAGGAACACTGGCTATCAAAGAACACTAGCTATCAAGGAGCACTAGCTATCAAGGAATACTGGATATCAAGGAACACTGGCTATCAAGGAACACTGGCTATCAAAGAACACTAGCTATCAAGGAGCACTAGCTATCAAGGAATGCTGGATATCAAGGAACACTGGCTATCAAGGAACACTAGCTATCAAGGAACACTAGCTATCAAGGAACCTTAGCTATCAAGGAACACTGGCTATCAAAGAACCTTAGCTATCAAGAAACACTGACTATCAAGGAACACTAGCTATCAAAGAACACATGCTCTCGAGGAACACTGTACCAACTTTATGACTGGAAGAACACAGACATTAACAGTTTCAGTAGCAAATGTAACAGAAACAGATCCTTTCAGGAGAGATGAAGTTTAAGACAACCCAGGAGATTGGAGTTAAGAACCCAAGAGGTAAGCTAGGTAAACAGAGTTAGGTAAAACACACACATAATATATATATATATATTATATATATATATATATATATATATATATATATATATATATATATATATTCTTTCTTCTTTCAACAAACCGGCCGTATCCCACCGAGGCAGGGTGGCCCAAAAAGAAAAACAAAAGTTTCTCTTTTTTAAATTTAGTAATTTATACAGGAGAAGGGATTACTAGCCCCTTGCTCCCGGCATTTTAGTCGCCTCTTACAACACGCATGGCTTACGGAGGAAGAATTCTGTTCCACTTCCCCATGGAGGTAAGAGGAAATAAACAAGAACAAGAACTAGAAAGAAAATAGCAGAAAACCCAGAGGGGTGTGTGTATATATATGCTTGTACATGTGAAGTGTGACCTAAGTGTAAGCAGAAGTAGCAAGACGTACCTGAAATCTTGCATGTTTATGAGACAGAAAAAAGGACACCAGCAATCCTACCATCATGTAAAACAATTACAGGCTTTTGTTTTACACTCACTTGGCAGGACGGTAGTACCTCCCTGGGCGGTTGCTGTCAACCAACCTACTACCTAGAATATATATTATTATATATATATATATATATATATATATAATATATATATATATATATATATATATATATATATATATATATATATAAAATGTACACACGTATACACTTACCTTGGTAAGGTGTGGCCTCAGTGCGGATATACTTGGTGAGCCAGTCATAGTAAACAACGGCCTGGTAGGTAGCTATTACCCATTTCCTCGCCTCATTATATACTCGCTCGTCTGAAACATTGTTTTCATCATATAAAACATTCAGTAGAGCTTATGGTGATTTGTTTCATTATAGAACATACGGTAGAGCCTATACAGAAAAATCCGGATTTTAAATGTTTTAACATGTATAGCGGCCTACCTGATGATAGACTTGCATAAAATTTGTTCAGATGGGTTTTATTATGAAAACGTTAGCTATAATCTAAAGTTATATATTATAATTATATATTAACTAATCTAGGGTGGAGGGAAAAAGGGCTATGAGCCGTCCTAGAAAAGATTAGAGGAAGGAAGTAGGTGAAAGAGGTAGGTAGGTAGGTAGGTAGGTAGTGGATTTGTCAGGTTTGAGAGCTAGAGGCTTATATGAGCGCGAGGCGAAGGTGGAGACAAGATGCTGCAAATTTAGAAAGATACGTGAACAACCACTAAGACGTATTAGAAAAACATTTCGGTCCTGGGACCGTGATCAGGTGTCCCAGGAGAGAAATGTTTTCCAATATGTCCTAGTGTTTGGTCACGTGTCTCTTTAAATAGTACACAAATAACCCGCACATAGAAGAGAGGAACATACGACGACGGTTCGGTTCGACTTCGTAAATGGTCCAAGTCGGACCGAAACGTCGTCGTAAGCTCCTCTCTTCCATGTGCGTTTTATTTGTCGGTATCTCCATCATGGTTTATACCGAGAGGTTTTTATTAAACTTGTCGTGGTCAGGACCGGATAAAGACATGGGTTTTAAAGGTAGCAACCCAGGGGCCTCCGCCTCCAGAGATGTTCTCAGCAACTAACAATTTCTAGGGGATGTTACGGTTCGGAGAGCTATTTGAGCTGTGATGTCAGCACGCTTCTGGCAAGACAGTCAGTGAATGAATGATGGTAAATGTGTTTCCTTTCTTTTGGATCACCTTACAGATACAAACCCATGAACTACAATATCAATAAATACTAGCATCTAGTTGTATTGGGTTATCCTGGGTTAATTTTCTCCTATAATCACTGGGTTAATTTTTCTTCTGTAATCACTGTACATACGCTGCGGTCAATGCTTAATAAATCTGCAATTGTATAAACACGCAATGTTAATATGAGTGTTAATACGTAGAGTTAATACGTGTACTAACTTTGCAAAGTTAATATGAGTAGTAACTTTGCGTGTTTATACATTTTCAGATATTTTTCTGTATAAAAGTATTTTTAGGTTGTTCGCTCTGAAACCGGTTTTAAATTATTTATTTATGACATTTCTTGAATTACATGGCTATATTTGAGTTATAATCATTTTTGTGTCACTGGTTGGTAAGAGCAGTTATAATTAATTTTTTTGCTAAAATTTGAAATTTTTTACTA